AACAACATACATATTGAATTCAATTACAAAATTTCTAGAAATTTTAATAAAATTAAACTTTAGAGTAATAAACAATACACAGTTATTGAACTATTTGAAACTAATAAAATAAAACAGATTATTTAAAAAGTAAATTATTGAAGTACTGTCAAGTAAAAGTCATTTCCCATTGAAGAAGCATTTATTGGCAAGATATGTTCAAATAAATGCTTTCAACATAAAGTCAGTTATTTTTTCTATCTTGTTCAATCGTCCATGGATTAAATTAAAGTCTAGCTTGAAGACTAAGAAATGAGTTCTTTTGTTAAAAAGTTTCAATGATCACTAAACGTTTGCAAACGTTTCAAAGCTCAATAAGACCAGATTGTATAAATGTTGTTTTAGAAGTTAAAGCATTTTCACCGTTTTCAGATTTAAGTTAAGACTATTTAGGTTTTAAAACTAAAACCTTATTAAGAAAACAATAGATACACACTTTTAAATAATATTCTAAAATCTAAAAGAAAAACAATCGAACACTGTTAAGAGATAATTCAATAAAGATATGTAAATCATCTTTTATCTTTTCTTGCCTAGAGATAATTCACTAAGGCTATCTGAATCATCGTTTCTCATTTCTTACCTAGAGATAATTCAGTAGGACTATCTAAATCATCTGGTTTGGGTTTACTAGAAAAGTTTGGATCAATGCAGTCATGTAGAGGTGTTTGCCTGTTTGAACATAAACATCGCTTACTGTTAGTGCTAACTAAATGTTCAGAAAGTAAGGGAAGTAGATTAAGTAATTGTTATTCAAACTAATTACATCACACAAAATTAACAAGATAATGAATGCGTTAATATTCGAAAATTTATGCTAACTTTTTGTATTGATCCATAAAGTTCTGCTCTGTTACTTCCAACCATCAGCTGTGTCTATAAGAGGCTTTGTTTGATAATCTAAATGAAACATTTTCCTACAAAGAAAATGTATCGTTAAAAAAACACAAAAAACCTTACTCAGAATTTTTCTTGAAGATTTTACTTGCCAGTTTGGACGAATTATTAAATTGTTCTTTGAAATGCGGAAATAGTGAACTTACCAACCCGGTGGTACTAATTTTGATGGCAATGTACTGTAGTAATATGAAGGTTGCGAGTATAATTCATTTTTAGTTTATTCCATACTATTGAATTCCTTCTCGAACTTGTATTGATATTCCTTCTTCTTTATCATACGACTATAACATTACCAGTAGACAACAGTTTGAAGAGAAATTCTCGGAAAGTCACAGCTACGAAAAACGATATAAAGAAACGTCACTTCCATTCCTACTTGTATTTTTCTTTCAATAGGCTACATTCTTTCTTCCATGTTTCTTCGATTTCCTTTAAATAAGTGCACCATATAAATCCGGTTTAGTGTTGCTTTAGATGGAAGAAGATTTTCCAGGCTTCAAGTGGCCATCTTCTAGTTTTGGTGACCGTTGACATATAGAAATAAATAGTACCCTGTCTGTCGTCGTATTGGAGACAGTCTTCTTTCGTGGTTCACTTATCTTCAATTGATTTTCACTTTTTTTCTTAGAAAAGAGCATACTGCCCAGGATTGCCACATTGTCAACTGTCATTGCCAGGCGGTTTTTTACAATTTTATGGGCTGCTCAAATCCTTCTAAATGAGGGAGTATTATATAACCCCGTGACATAGTAAGAATAAACCAAGTTTAAACGTTTCAGAAAACACATATACTGGGTTTATGGAGTACAATTTGCCTTTTATATACCTAAAGTAAGAATATTCCAAAAAATGCTCTTTTTATCATGATTTTATGAAACTTACAATCTTGGAGTTATGTTTTATAAGTAGACTTAAGTAGCAAAAGAAAACAATATATACATATATACAATTACAGTTATCACAAATATAAGTCGTACTTTAAAAAAACCCAAGTTTCAACAGAACTGAGAAAATACATCACATTTGTTTGTTTTTTACTGTCATAAATACACCCTTTTATCAATTGTGTTTAATATACGTTTGTGCAAAGATTTAATATTGACTTATCTTGTTGCAATTTAATTCACACGCAATTTTAGAGCATATGCATACGTGACATTCCACGTGTATTTAGAATGCATATGTTGTGTACCGTATGGTTTAATATTTATAATAATATTTCATACATACTTATAAAAACAACAACAAAATATGCAATTTATTTGAAGCTAGTAAATTATATTAATTTAAGGAGTTGCAATTAAATTATTTCATTGTAAAATGTCAAAGACGCCAAAAATTCAGTTGCTGGTGCCTTTGTTGTAAACGGTGTTTGCGTCGTAATTTAAGATCATCTTATTCGAAATTAATAAGCAGGTAGACATTAGTCCATTGCTTAGCCTTATGCTTAATTACAAACAATTACAAACAAATCAACTCAATAATAATTCAGTTGGAGCCTCACATGAATACATCAAATGAGTCATGTAAGCAAAGATAAAAGATGATTTAGATAGTCCTACTGAATTATCTTTAGGTAAGAAACGAGAAAAGATGATTCAGATATTCCTACTGAATTATCTCTAGGTAAGAGAAGATAAAAGATGACTTACATATTTTTATTGAATTATCTCTAGGTAGGGAAAGATAAAAGATGATTTAGATAGTCCTACTGAATTATCTCCAGGTAAGAAAAAATATAAGATGATTTAGATAGTCCTAATGAATTATCTCGAGGTAAGAAAACATAAAATATGATTTACATTGAATTATATCTTGGTAAGAAATGATAAAGGATTATTTAGATGGCCCTACTAAATTATCTCAAGGTACAAAAAGATAGTATGTCTTACTAAAACTCTCTTATCATGTCTGTGTAGAAAAGTTATTTTAAAAACTCCTTTATTCCAATGATTTATAGATTCTATTGTTGGAAACTTCGAGATTTCTTTAAAAAAAGTTTAATACTTGAAAAATCAAATATTACCAATTTGAGTTAACACATGCATGGTGTGACTGTTGCACATGAAGCTAAATTATTTATTTTTGTCCCAATACCCCACGTTCATACAAATATAAATAATGATTATCAAAAGCTATATATTTGTAATGTGTTTCCAAGTTAATCTACTTTATAACAGAGTAATATATTCTAAAATAATGTCATGCCATATATTTGTGACTAAACTTAGATGATGACTATTCTTCAATGATTTAAAAGATTATCCCATAATCAGACTGATGAAATGCTGAAACCACCTCGAAACAATTAATTATATAATTATTTTATGGCATTATACTTCTCTCACTTTGTTGTTAATTAAATAATTTTTCGTACATTTGGAAATCACAGGAAATGGCAAGATACCTCGAAGAAGAGAGCTTAGTCCATATTATGGGCTTCAAATGGAAGATTCACCAATACACAACATTAAAACCACTTTACAAGAAGGAAACCGTAACTTAAATTACCCAGTAAG